CCACCATCCTTCACAGTTAGCTACCGTGGGTAAATCTTTGTTTCAGAGAGCATGAGGGATCTGTGACAGTAAACACCTGGCAGCCGAGCTCCACCATGTCAAGCAAGTTTTGCATGACAACAAGCTTCGGGTCCCGCGCCTACGTCACACTGAACGAGAGAAGCCTGCCACAGTCGAGGGTGTACCTGCTGTACTTCCATATGTGAGAGGAGTCACTGACAAGATTTGCTACATCTTGAAGCGCGCTTCTATCAAAACATACTTCAAGCCGCTGAAGAAGATTGGTCAGTTTTTGCCATCAGTCAAGTGTAATGTCCCTCTGCAAGATGCAGGAGTGTACAAGCTTTATTGTGAATGTGGTCTCTCCTACATAGGACAAACTAAAATATCAATTAAAACCCGCGTTAAAGAACATGTAGCTGACGTGAAGAATCGACGCTCCGGGAAGTCTGCAGTCTGTGAACACGTACAGGATCGCCCCGTCACTACATCAGATTTGATAGACCATAAATCCTCGCTAAAGAACACCGATTCCTTCCAAGAATGAATCGCGAGGCTATTGAAATCAAAAAACATCCTAATTTCAATAGAGAAGGTGGCTGGGTGCTACCATCTGCTTGGGATCCTATAATAAATAAAATTAAATCCCAACCCAAGCATACAACTGCAAGACCTCAAGATACCATAAGTTCATACTGTATAGATCGGAACAAAAGTTAAATTTTAATCTATGGTAACCGCGGTTAACTATGACATCTGGACGTTGAACATCTCAGTCCCACCCATGACCATAAGTGCTGTAAAGCGTTCGAAACGTCGGATATTTAAAAAGTTAAATATACGCGATATATTCCGTAAAAACTAGTATTATTTCAAAGCGGCACAGTATTTCAGTATACAGACAATCCGCCTGCAATTTTACAAGCCGCAGTTTCGGCCTCGTGCGGATATTAGTATTTCCTCCTGCATCGTTGAATACATGTACATACATCACTTCTCACGCTCACGCCTGTCACCCAGATAGGTAGGCAGAGACTACAGCCTTTCATTTGGCACGATCCTGACACACCTCTCTCGCCTCCTTCACATCCATACACCTACGCATACATGCTCGTCGGTTAAGGCTACTCCTAATTTGGCCCGTTTTCAATAAATCGCTAATTTGGTCGATAAATTTTCGCCTAGGACGTCCCTTTCCGACTCTACCATTCACTTCTGCAACATAAATTTTCTTTGTCACTCTTTCCTCATTCATTCTTTTCACATAACCAAACTACCGAAGCATTCCTTTCTTAATCCTGGTCACAACATCATCTTGCAAACCACACTCTTCTCTTAGGACACAATTTCGTACCCTGTCATTTAGATTCAGCCCTAACATACTCCTTAACCGCCTTTCCACTGCGTTCATTCTACTCTCGTGCTTCTTCTGCCACACCCAACTTTCACTACCATACGTTAAAGTAGAGACTAAAATATAAATAATAATGATATATTCCGACTGTTTACATTAGTGTAGAGCCTCATTTACTTTATTTCCTGCATTCACTCGTCCTATATCCTTATCATATCTCCCATCCCTGCTGAATACACATCCTAAATATGCAAACTCATCTACTTGCCCGACCAACTCCCCCTCTATTCTTAATTCACATATCGTCTTACTTTCTTCTCTTTCAAAAACCATAACTTTCGTCTTACTTGCGTTCACTTTCATACCCCTTGTTTTTAATGATCTGTTCATTAATGTAACCATCATTTGCAGCTCGGCCGCCATCGACGCAAGAATAACTTGATCATCGGCGTACAAAAGGCATTTGACGGTTAACTCCCCCATTCTTAATCCGCATTCTTCAACTTTCAATTTTGCAAACATCTGTCCATAAATAGGTTGAACAGCCACGGGGAAGCCACACAGCCCTATCTGACACCTTTATGGATGCCAAACCAGTCCGAGTAGACCCCGTCGATCCTAACACAAGCACTAGAGTCCCTATAAAGCGACTCCAATGCCTGTATCAAGCAAGCCAGCGTTCAGCTCAAATGAATTCAGTGTTTGCCATAGCACATCCCTATCTACTCTGTTATAGGCCTTTTCCAAGTCCATGAACGCACAAAAAACCTTTTGGTTTTGGTCAAAAAATTTTCCGCGATCATGCGCATGGATAAGGCTTAATCTGTACATCCCATTCCCTTTCTCAATCCCGCTTGCACATCCCAAATTTTTTCATCAGTTTCTTTCATGACCCTTTCAATCACTACCTTAGCGTACAGTTTTCCCACAATGCTAAGAAGGCTGATACCACGGTAGTTTTTACAGTCCTGCTGCGACCCTTTTCCTTTTGCACCAGTCTACCGGTACCCGCTTCAGTTCCCAGCATAAATTAAACAAGGTGTGCAGCGGGCCTGCCACCACTTCCTCTCCAGCCCTTAACATTTCGAGTGAAACTCTAACATATCCGGCAGCCTTACCTACTTTCAAGCTTTTCATTGCTTTCATTATTTCATCTATACTTATCTCGCTACCTCTTTCCTCTTCTTTCGTAGTTTCTACTTCATTTATTTTATACGTTGTCTTCTCATTCATTAAAACACTTTCAAAATATTCCTTCCATCTCTTTAAACTCAAAACTTCATCCTTCAGAATATAGCCATTCTCATCTCTTATAGCATTCATTATAGGCTGTTTTTAATGTCCCCTGGCAGTTCTTACGAGTTTCCAGAACATTTTAATATTTGCCTGGAAGTTATCCGATATTCTTCTATCATTCTTATCCGTTCTTTCTTGCTTTTTCCTTTCAAATACTTCTTTTACTCTCTTATTTAGATGTCTAAAGACTGCCTTTTTTCTTTCAATATCATCATTCGTAGCGCTAGAATTACCAGCCTTTGCTGCCAGTAAATCTAGCCATGCTCTCTTCTTTGCTTCAACTTCCATACGTATCTTATCACTCCCAATATCCCACCATAACGTATTATTTTTCCTTTCATTATTTCTCTTACTAACACCACATACGATCGGTAGCTGCATCCACTAAACTTTTCTTAACATTTTGCCATACATTCTTCAAGTCTAATTCTTCTTCTTCTACTTAGCGTTTATCCCGGATACTCATCCCGCCCAGCGCGGGAGAACCCAGGGTCCGCTTTCCTACACTTCCTCCTCCACCTTGCCCGGTCTTCGGCGTCCCTCGCAACTAGACCATTGGCGCGCATGTCATCCTGCACGACATCAAGCCAGCGTTTCTTGGGCCGTCCTCTACTCCAGGTACCAGTTAGAGTCATGTCCAGGCATTTGTTTCCCACGCAGCTTGCCGGTCGTCGTAAGACGTGGCCGTACCAGCGGAGGCGACTTTCCTGGAGCTTGTCAGCAATGTCACGGACATGGTTGCCGCGGATGTATGTATTCCGTACATGGTCTTTCCGCGTGACGCCACACATCCACCGCAGCATGTTCATCTCCGTGACATGCAACAACGACGTCAGATCTGTCCTGTTGCAGACCATATACTCCGTCTTCGCCACATTTAGCTTCAGCCCGCCATTCTCAAGCGCCTCCTTCCATGCGTGCACGCATCTGGTGAGCCGTCCTTTGTCCCCATCTACCAGTGCGATATCATCAGCGTACATAAGCAGCCAAGGCTGCGGTAGTTTCTGTACGCTGGCTGATAGTTCGTCTAATATCACACTGAAGAGATAGGGGCTTAAGACGGAGCCCTGATGAACGCCTACGGTTATGGGGAAGAGGGTGGTATCACCAACAGCGGTCCTAACTATTGAATCGGAGTTGCGGTACATATCACGTACGATTTCCAAGTAGGTCTCTGGTACCAACTTCGACCGCAACGCCCACCAGATCATCTCCCTAGGAACACAGTCAAAGGCCTTCTGCAGGTCTAGGAATAAAAAATGCAGAGGCATATTCTTTTACCTATGCTTCTCCATGGGGATCCTTAGGGCGAATATAGGGTCCATAGTACCGCGTCCTGGTTGGAAACCGTTCTGGGAGTCCGATACTGTACACTCCTGTCGGATCCTGGTGTCAATAATGAGCTCGAAGAGCTTCATGGTGTGTGACGTCACCTTTATACCGCGGTAATTACCGCAATCCTGAACGGACCCTTTACCCTTGTGGACCGGCGTTATTATACTAAGCCGCCACTGATCGGGCGTTATTCGGTCGCTCAGGATTCTATTATAAAGGTTAGTAAGAATGCACACACCACAAGCACCCAGCGCTTTCCACGCTTCAATTGGCACCTCGTCCGGTCCGACAGCTTTCCGATTCTTCATGTGACGAAGAGATGCGAAGACATCGTCAGGCGTAATCGGTGGCACGAGTCCATGGTTCGGGAGTTGTTAGGGAGGGTGCACTTCCCGGTGCTGAGTATTCAGCAAAACGTGGAAATAAGAGCGCCATCTCTCCTTCACCGCACGATCATCGTACAGGAGCTCGCCATTAGGGCCGTTGACGCTGCAGCAGCGAGTAATATCTTGCGCTGCTTTGGCCCAAGAGCGCGCACGTTTATATATGACCTTGAGCCCCTCAGGGGTGTCCAACTTAGCATATAATGGTTGCAAGTGGTCACGCCTGGCTCTGGCTACAGCTTTCTTGGCAGCTCTTTTCGCTGTCTTGTAAGATGCGCGATCTTCAGGAGATTTGGTCGCTTGCCACGTCTTGAAGAGCGCTTTCTTCTCCCGTAATGAACCCTGGACTGTGGCGTCCCACCACCAGGTCTCCTTGTCAATTTTGCGACCCCCTTTCGCCACGCCGAGGACTTGCTTTGACGTCTTTGTGATTGGTCAAACTCTGAGTATCTGGTTTGGTCCAGCAGCCACCACTTGATTTGACGGCGGCAACGTTCGGCGTGTCTGCCACGGGGTTTTACGCAGAGGTCCATGACAAGAAGTCGGTGTTGTGCAGTGAGACACTCACCGGGTATGACCTTACAGTTGGCCACGCGACTGATATGACTTCTCCTGGTCAGTAGATAGTCAATTTAAGTGGCGTTCCGACCGCTCCTGTAGGTAATCAGGTGCTCGGTTTTCTTTTTGAAGAACGTGTTCACGACGGCCAGGTCAGCTGCAGTGCAGGTTCTGAGAATGGTTTCCTCCTCTGCGTTTCTTCGGCCGTAACCATAGCCGCCGTGGACAGGTTCATACTCCCCCTGCAGCTCGCCCACATGACCGTTCAGGTCGCCACCCAACACGACATCGTGGGACAACGGTATGCCGCGTAGTACATCTCCGAGCCGATCCCAAAACAGCGTCTTATCCGCGTCGCTGCAGTCGACCTGTGGGGCGTAGGCACTTATTAAGTGGGTCACGACCCCCTCAACAAGCAACCTTACTACCATAAGTCGGTCGCATATGCATCTAACTTCCAAGACGCTATCATGGAAATGCTCGGCGAGCACCACTGCCACACCGTTCTCCCCACCAGAAGAGCCTGTATAGATCAGCTTGTAGCCGTACCCAATATTCCGGCTCCTGTTGGCCTTCCACCGTGTCTCCTGCAGGAACGCCTCGCGGACGCGAGCGACTTATCCCCCATATTCAAATATCACGAAGAACTATCTTAAGGTCTGTTCTATAGTATTGATCTCGTGTGAACTCATGCTTTATCTTCCCCTTCCCACACGTCTGTCGCCAACTAAGGCTCGGTACAGCGCTAGCGATCAAGCTATAAGCACGGACTAGATCAAAATCTGTAAAAATTATCCGACGAACCGAGAAAAGTTGGAAGTTACACAATTGAAATGAAATTCCTAACGAGGTCACAATCGAATGCTATAGAGTTGTCAATAGGCAGCCCCAGGCGGATACTACGTTGGAATAAAGATTACGAGGGTTTTAATTACATCCTTTTGATAAAATTTTACAATTTTCTACTAATACTTTTAAATTTCAAAATATAAAATGAAATATCTTTTAAATTACGACATAACATTTCATTTTTTTTATAAGTAGAGGTAACAATGACAAAATTCTTCATCCATTAAGCAACAAAATACAGATCGTTGTCACCAATACGAGTACAAGTACAGATGGCCTCCTTCGCAGCAGGATCCTGCTATTTACGATAGTATTCTTTATTTCTCCATAACATTCATCATTTCCCATTCGAGTCAACATTTGTACCAAACCCATTATACGACAAATAAATTTAGTAATTTACCATCAGCATCTGTCTTTCTATTAAATTACAATGTAATTGTCTACAGGGCAAGAGTGGCATGGCAACCTAAGTCATTGCGCTTTACCGTCTTTGGCTAAATTATCATTTACCACCAAGTGGGTTAGCAGTCATACACTGACTTAGAATAGTTAAAAAGAAACTGGCTTCACTCTTGTTTAGTTACCAATTGATGTTGAATTCATTGCCAACTATGATTATAATCAAAAAAAATTATTAAATATCCCGGACACCTTGTTTCCTTTTTTTATATGATAAGGGTAAAAAACGAGCATCTGTAACCTAACATAGTCCTGATGGATCAAAAATCAAAAAGCATATGCGTAGTAAAAAGGTAAAGAGGTACTCCGGTTCTCTACACACACCATACAATACGAAACACAGTAACATTAAGCTCCTATTTAAGCTTCCTTTCCCAGTCGAGCCGACCCAATCGTGCTATAACCATAATATTGCTGCAGCATGGCTCTACCACGTATTAAAACCACCTTGTCATGATAACCCTGTACAAATCATTTAATAACCAATACGCATTTAGGTCAATACCTAACAAAGATGACTTGTTTAAACGGAACAAAAACTCAATAATTTCTTACTAACAATATTAAAGAGCCATCGTTAGTAATCGGAGCTTACAAAACATTAAGTACGTCTTAGGTCGCTGGATCGATCTCGCCACTGGGCTATATTATTCTGAAATTCCCTCTTACAGAGATAAGTTTACTCTTAGTCGGAGCGGTTTGTAGAAATTTCAGTAATTATTTTAGAGTTCCATCTCCGCTTTACGTTTCTAAATAAAGTTTTTATAAGATTAGGTTACCCTGAATTCATACTTTTTAAATTCAATTTTACAAATTTTACTGACGTTTTTTGGATTAAAAAAATGACCTATAGCTAAAGTTAACCGTTGGGGAAGAAGGTTTCTCGAGTGGCAGCCTCGTACCGGTAGGCGTAGTGTAGGGCGACTCCCCACTAGATGGAGTGACGACCTGATAAGACACGCAGGAAGTCGATGGATACAGGTGGCTCAGGACCGTGCTTTGTGGCATACCTTGGGGGAGGCCTATGTTCAGCAGTGGACTTGTGAAGGGCTGTAATGATGATGATAGCTAAAGTTCAGGTCTAGACAAAACGATCATTAGAAACACGATTTGTTCTATTTTGCTACATATTAAAATAGTCTATACATCTTTTATTTATATTAAATTTTATTCTAAATTAAAATTAAAACGATAATAAAAATTATAAAATATTCTAAAGCGTAATGCGTTTGTGGTACTCTTTTATCTCTCCACATTCGTCGTGCTAAATCTCTTTATTCTTTCAAAATAACTTATATCTATTATTCTTACTTAGAACACTATTAGCTAATTTTTTCGTACCCTTTTCATTTAATCTATTATATTTTTATTCCTAAGTATTTTATATATAAGTGGTTTGGATGAATTATGCATGCATGAGTTAGACTTGGAGAATATATGGCAAAATGTTAAGAAAGGTTTAATATATGCAGCCACCGAAGTACGAGTAAGAGAACGAATGAACGTCAGTTGAAGCAAAGAAGAGAGCATGGCTGGATTTACTAGCAACAAATTCTGGTAATTCTAGCGATACAGGAAAGAAAAAACGCAATCTTAAGACATCTAAAAAAGGGTGTAAAAGAAGTAGTTAAAAGGAAAAAGCAAAAGTGAAAAAGCATTTGATAAATCTAAGATCTACCATCTCTATTCAATAATTAAATCAATTCTTGCAAAAATTTTCATACAGACCATTTGATCGCTTGCATTAGACGATGCTTTGCCAAGGCCTTCATGCCGAATATCCAATAAATTCTAGTCCGCGTTACCGAGTTACAAAACTCACGTATCAAACTTCACTTTACACTAAATAACTTAAATTCCATTTAGTGCTCCAAAAATTTCACCATAAAAGCATATTAGAACGAACACATCTTTATGTTTTTTGCTTTGAATTTAAACGTTATATTATTAACAATGACCGACGAGTTACTCGTCCGTGTTGACAATTAAATATCCAATTCACAATCTCATTATACTAACACAAACTCTCGAGTGTCGACACCTTGATCAAATTACGAAACATAAACAAATAGGTAAGAAAGATATAATAACCACAAATTTGATAGACAGATGCTAATATTAAGACCACTAAATAAAAATGTCATTCTGAATTTGGTTAGTTTATCTCACGAAACGAACATGCTACCAACATAAGAGAAGGAATAAACGCCATTCACGGTGAGCAAACGCGAAGGTTAGCTTAGATTGTAACTCACACTCGCTCGTCTTCGCTTGTCGATACCGACGACGTTAACTCGGTTAACGCGATGGTGAAGACATTCGATTAATTTTGTGGAACTCACACTAGGCACACAGAAGTCGCTCCTGAGCCTCTTCACTAATAGGATCACTCATTTGGTTCCTAAAGACTAGGATACCACATACCCGAGCAAATACCGTCCCATCACGTATCTACCGACCAACTACAAGACACTAACATCCATTTTGAGCGTGAGAATCATTCGTCACCTTGACACACCTTGGTGACGTCGCGCACTCATGGATGGATGTCGATAGTCGTGATACTAAAGAACCGTGGCGTGTCGTACTCATTGACGCGGTCATTGGTAAGATGATTAAACGCAACCTTCAAAACTTCTACGCCGCCTGGATGAACTACATAGAGGTATTCCACTCGGTGCCTAATACATGGCTGAAGAGTGTCTTCAATCTGTACAAGGTTTACTGTACAGTTAGAGACTTAACTGGTCAGTATATGGGGCAGTGAAGTACGGTTCTTTGTCATCTAGGCAAGCGGATGACGGCTGCAAAAGACCACATAAGGGTAAGAAGGGGTCCGAGCGATTACTTGAGTCCAATTTGGTTTTGACTCTCTCTGAACACTCTCAGTAACATACTGGAGGGCTACGGGAGTGGATTCTAGCTCCAAAAAGGAGGTACAAAGGTGACCTACCTTTTCTATATGGTTGATCTCAAATTATTCTCCTCCAGTCACTCCAATTTTATGGAATTGCTAAACATAACTTGTGACTTTAGCAATTCTATTAGAATAGAGACGGGGACAGATAAGTGTGCGGTCCTCCATCTTGAGAGGGGTAGGGTAGTAAACTCTAATATTATAGACTTATCTATGCCCATCAACATAAACCCCTTCCGAGGCTGAAACATATCCGGGTATGTCACAAAATAAAGGTATTGATGAGGCGGACGTGAAACAATAAGCTTGCGATCTGTTTTATGAACGCTTGAGCAACGTGCTTAACAACCTTTTATTGGGCATGAATAAGACGTAAGCAAATAGCGGTTGGGTCATGCCTGTCCTCATGTGTACCTTTGACATACTCAGGTGGACTTAGACCGAACGAAGCTGTACTTGCCGCGGAAGCATTGTGGGCGTGACTTTTTAAGCGCGCTACTTTCTGACGAGATCAGATGATTTATTCTATAACAATGCAATTTCTTGCGATAAAGGGCTTACTGCTTTATCCTTAGCCAACAAGCAATGGCAAGACCCGGCAGTACAGAATATTTCCGACCGTGAGACCGTATGGAAAGAGAAGGAGCTCCATGGGAGGTTCTACAAGGCTCTACATGAACCTTTCGTAGATACGGTCACCTTCCTTCACTGGCTACGCTTCGGTGTCCTCTTTGGGGAAATCGAGGGTTTTGTCTGGGCAATACAAGATGAGATTGTTAAGACCAACAACTATCGGATTATCGGACATGAATAAGACGTAAGCAAATAGCGGTTGGGTCATGCCTGTCCTCATGTATACCTTTGACATACTCAGGTGGACTTAGACCGAACGAAGCTGTACTTGCCGCGGAAGCATTGTGGGCGTAACTTTTTAAGCGCGCTACTTTCTGACAAGATCAGATGATTTATTCTATAAGAATGCAATTTCTTGTGATAAAGGGCTTACTGCTCTATCCTTAGCCAACAAGCAATGGCAAGACCCGGCAGTACAGAACATTTCTGACCGTGAGACCGTATGGAAAGAGAAGGGGCTCCATGGGAGGTTCTATAAGGCTCTACATGAACCTTTCGTAGATACGGTCGCCTTCCTTCACTGGCTACGCTTCGGCGTCCTCTTTGGGGAAATCGAGGGTTTTGTCTGGG